TTTGGATTCCAGGGAATCACAGATTTCTGTGCATATAAGCGCTCCCACACACTCGGCACAGACAGCTCCCCGTTCCTGCAGAAATTGGGCTCACCCTGGGAAAAATCACTTCAAAGTCTGGTTGTTTTCCTAGGACAGGAGTCCTCCCTCCCAGCAATGTAAGTGGGCTGGAGGCTGCAGGGAAATGAGGAAAACTTATCTCCACACACAGCATACTTTCTCTAAAGTTCTGAAAATCATTTTCTTCTAATTTGGATCAGAAGGCTGTGAAGTCAATCCCAAGTGTGCTGTTGAGATACTGGTAAATAAAGCATGCCCCTCTGACAAGCCATAGGTAAGAAGCTTGTTCCAAGCTACTTGCTCTGCCTAGGGACCTGAGGGCTGGGCGGGGTGGGGGTAGGGGACTAGGAAAGGAGTAGCAGAAAGCCCAGAGGCTCCAGTATCTCCTAGCTCACCTGGGGTTCCTACCTTGTAACGCTTGGGTTATAAAAAGAGGGGTATGAAGAGCCGCAGGGTACACACAGCTGTACTTGGTTTCCAAGTTTTGAGCTGTGCTGTCGGAGGCATGCTTTTGTACATCTATGTACACACGCAGTCCCCTGTTTTGTGTGCAAATGACAGGGGGAGTGGGAAAAGTAATCAAGGTATAATTAATCCCCCAAAGTAGATAATGTAAAACCATCTGGGTGATATTCACAGTGACGGTCTGCAAATATTTCTCCTTCCCACCCCTCATCTCCCTCTCCTCTCACATTCTTAGCTGCTAATAAGAAAATCTATACAATTTTAAGATCTTAGCCTTCCTGCACCTCACTTTCCTCATCTATAAAATGTGGACAACACTTCCTACTGAGTAAGAGTAAATGAATTAATGAATACAAGCCATTCAGAACAGTATCAGCACACTGTGAGTACTAGGAAAGTTATTTTGTGACCATAGTTGGGAGAGTTAGGAATTATTTTATGGAGTTCGCGACAGCTGGGATGAGTTTGTAAATGCATTTACTACACTGAATCCACCAGACATCATCGCTCAGCCCAGCCTGCTGTAATATGCTCAGAGCACTTACACCAACCAGCCTGCAGTGCGGTAGAACCATCTAACACACAGGCTGTTTCATAACACAGTTGAATATCTCATGTACACACACAGATGGGTGTTTGTAGATGTGAGGGGATGTGAAAACACAATATCTCCAAAACACTGTAGAGTATCGCTTGTTTCTCCTGGTGATTACGTAGCTGACTGGGAGCTCATTGCAACTTCCCAGGATCTCAGAGAAGAAGAGACCACACATGGACAGTTATGGAAAAGATCAAAACTCAAAATGTAATTTCTGCTGGGTGCATGTCACTATTGCACCACTGTGCCGTCAAAAACCTGCAAGTCAACCTGCTGTTAGTGAGGGACCTTCTGCACTAGCTGATTCCACTTCTATGAAGTTTGACAATAGAGTTCTTTTGGTAAATGAGCTAATCTATGGTATGATTTCAGACCTGTGGCCACTTTGTGGGTGTTGACATGGAAGGGCCATAGGGAAGTGTTCTGGTGGGTTGGAAATCATCTACATCTATAACTTTAGCAGGTAGATAATTCATATGTGCAGTATAAGAGGGATTTGTATGCAAGGGAAATAAGAACTTTGCACCATTTAAGAATATATGAGAGATGATCAAACAATATAGTGAATGTATAATAAAAATAAAAAATATTACAGTAAAACACACATCACCATTTACCCCCTTCAAAACACTCCCTTGACTTCAAACTCACTTACCACATCCACTTTCTGAAGCAGGTATGGAAGACTTCTTTCCTGAATATGTTTATGAGGTGTAAAAAAAGAAATACGGTGATAAAATAAATATGGTGGATGCTGTTGCTTGTTGCCATCCAATGGAAAGGTAGCCTTGGTAAAGCATTACAGTGCATCCTCATCCATCTTATTCCAGGGACCTAGTCCTGTGTGACTTTTTTTTTTTTTTCTGTGTGACTTTTGATTCTACCTCAAAGTTAAAATGACCACGAAGGTAAATGTTCTTAATTGCTTCATAATATCAAGGTAGACACTCATGAAAGAGGACTTCCAGAACTGCTTCAGAAAGTGACAAGAACGATAGGATGTGTTCAAAGCAAGGGAGAATATTTTGAGAGGGATTAATGGCGAAGTGTCTTTCACTGTAATACATTTTTTCTTAATTTAAACATTCACTGTAGTTTGATCATACTATATATGCTCAAAATGTAATGATAAAAGAGGAAAACAAATGTATATGCAACTTTGTATATACATTATTATCACTCAATGAAACTGTAAATATATTGTAATCTATTTTAAAAATTAAAAGAACAAATAACATTTAAACATTGGTGGGGATTTATGTAATCACTGTAAAGTGCTAGTTCAGGGGAATTACAGAAATCCTAACCCAGATGTAAAGAGAACACCAACGCTCCTGAGCATAGTGATAGATCCTAGTCCTGTTACTTCACTGCGTGGACTTTCAGCAAGTTACAGAAACCCTTCTGGCCTCAGTTTCCTCAACTGTTCTCTAAAGGGGTCAAATGATAACTACACATTAGAATTCTTCAGGGGACAAAAAGATGAAGCTTGAGTCTCCTGGCACGTGGTAAGGACTCAAGACAAATTATTTCTGCTGTTAAAGGAAACCTCGAGGCAGAGAGGACTGAGGATGCCCACGTCACACTGGCTTGTCCATTCTTTGGGTCACCCCTAGGGATAGAGGGTCCTGGGAGTTGGAGGGAGAGGCCTTGGGCAGCACCCAGAAGCAGGGAAGGGAGATGTGTAGGGCTCAGGTGCAGGCTCTCTGGGCTATGACAGAAGGCAGAAAGTGAGCCTTTCCCAGTGAGACCCTTTAGGACCCTCCCTGATTAAAAAGTTTAAGGGTTGAGATGTTCCTGTGTTGGGAGCTGAATAGGCAGTTGTACTGGGAAGAAAAAAAATGAAAGTTATGTATAAACTCTAGAAAGTATAACACAATGGAATGTCATTTTTAAAAAAAATATTATTTTTTTAAAGACAGGGTCTCACTATGTAGCCGAGGCTGGCCTTGAACTTGCTATGTAGTCCAGGCTGGCTTTGGACTCACAGCGATCCTCCTGTCTCAACCTCCCGAGTGCTGGGATTACAGGCGTAATCCACCATGCCCTGCAGGAATGCCATTTTAAAAGGGATGGTTTAAAGTTGGACATTTTCTGACTATGTCTAGCTGTGTTTACTACATCTGTAGAACATGATATTATTTGTGAAAATCACAAAAATCCGAACCACTTGCTTTCCTACACAGAGACATGTTTCTTTCTTCCAATATTATTCAACAGTAATTATTATGATAAAATGTTCACATGCCATTTTTTATGGTTTATATCTAACTGGCCCTCCAAAGCCTCTGTGCTCCTAGGTGAGGCTTTGGGGAGGTGATTGGATCGCAGGGGTGCAATATTCATCAATGGATTAGTCCATGGATGGGTTTAGAACCAACTATGATGTTGGGAGGTGAAGCCTGATTGGAGGATGTGGGTTGCTGGGGGCGTGGCCTGTAAGTGTCTGTTTTCTTCCTACCTTGACCCTTTTCTGCTTCCTGTACCATGCCATGAACTGTTTCTCCTCTGCAAGGCCCCTCTGCCAGGACACCCTGCCTTGGAGCCAGCCAACTATGGGCTGAAACCACTATAAACTGTGAGCCAAAATAAACCTCTACCATTTTACGTTGTGGGTGTCAGGCTTTGTAGCTCAGCAGAGAAAGTGACAAAGGCATATTTAAACACATGGATTTTTTTTCTTTCTTCTAGAAAGCAGTGGAGCCCTAGCTCCTCAGGTGGTCTAGGTGAAATTGAATTCACATTTAGTCAGTGACCTCAGAAGCATGAGATACATGCACCTCAGCATTTGTCTGCTTTCCTCCTGCTACAGGAAACACACTTATGATATTTAATAGTTAGTCACCAAATTGTGTGTATTGGTTAGGCCCCAGATTCTGCAACTGACTTCATTTCAACATGAATAGAAAGAAAACTATTATGGTAGAAAGCTATTGTGTTTTGTACAGAAAATTCACAATTCTCCAAAAGGAGATACAGGGGAGATTGTTTTCTTATAGGAAGCTGCTGAAAATTAGTAGAGGCCTGGTTGGATTTAATATTATATTCTGATCCAGAGTTAAGAGAGGGAGTTGTGTCAACAATTACAGCCTTGTTTCCAACCACAATCCAATTAAAAGTAACCCGAAGTGATATAATGCATACCGGGTATTCTGAACCCTGAATAATAATGACATTGATAATAATCTCATGAGCTATCATTTTTATTAACACTTCTTATGCAGCAGGCATTGTGCTAAGCGTTTTGTATAAATTAGGTTCCTTATGTCCCATGCATGACAAAGCTATCAGGCATTTTACAGCTAAGGACAATAAAGCTCAGACTAGGATGACCAACTGCTCAGGTTGTTTTCCCAGATATGGGACTTTTTAGTTTTTTCCCTCCCTCTCCCTCTCCCTCTCCCTCCCCCCATCTCCCTCTCCTTCCCCCAGACAACCTTGGATGAGTTGGTCACCCTATGGGAAGAACTTGCTTTTTAAGTGGTGAAGTGTTTACACATCTTCATTCTTGATTGATCAGCTCTCTCTCCTACTAGCCCAGCTCAAGATCACTGTCCATAACAACTGGACAGCAAAGACATTCTTTGGAGCATGAGAGGAGGGATCTATGTTTTTTTTTTTTTTTTTATGGTACCAGAAATTGAACTCATGACCTCACACTTGCCAGGCAGGTTCTTATGCTGTTGAGCTATGTCCCTGGCAGAGAGGAGGGATCTAGGTTGAAACTAGATAAAGTTATTTCATATGGAGTAATCAAAAATGTCACTTTGCCTCTCCTGTCTCAAACTACTGAGCAAGTCAAGCTGTGCCGCCATGTACAACATTTCCAAAGGGCTTGCATGTTACTGTAAATGCATTGGGAGTGGGACCCACTCACCTTGGGAAGGGGGTAGAGATGGCATTGTGGTTGGCCAGTGTCCTGCTTACAGAACTCCAGAGTGTGACATACCATATCAGCATTCATGTCTGCGTCAAGCCTGGTGGGAAATGGGGCAAAGCAAAGGCTGTTAAGATCTCACAGGCATGAGAAAATAGAAGCTGTTTCAAAGGAAAGTAAATCCCCAGAATGGATTCTAATACCCTTAACTCATCACAGCCGGGCCTTTGAGCCCCATCCAGAGTAGCAGCTGGATCACAACGATTTCCTGCCATGCTGCTGTCTCCTGTAGTTAAAATGAGGTCCAGAAGGAGCAGAGGGGGCATGCACAGCTCTGAGCAGAGTTCACCTCCCACATGAGCACTGGATTCTTTTCAGAAGCCACAAATACAATTGGAAAAGGAAAACCGGGCAGGGGTATATTCAATAGGAACAATATTTTCATGTTTTCTGGGGTTTATTGCAAAAAATCATCTGTGATATATCATAGATACCTAAAATTATTTTCTTAGGTGTGATCAAAAACATTTCTTCCACTTTGAAGTAAACATATTTCTTATACTTAAGGAAGATAATATAATATATTCAACTTGTTCCTTTCTCTGGGGATGGTGTAGGGATCACACTCTTCAAATATTTTGTTTTCTGTCCCGATTTGAAAGACCTAAAGCCAAACTTTTTTCTTTGTCAGCCCCTAGAAACTCTTCTGATGGAGTAAAACACACATAAAGTATTGTTTCTAGTAAAGAGCAAGTTAAGTATTGTTAGTAAATTTTCCAAACACATTATTGAGTCAGAGTAAAACCAAATCAAACCAACACAATGAAAACAAAAAAATCTGACAACACAGACTGGTAGTCTTTGTGTTATGTGGATGGACAGTGTGGAATCTCAAGAATACTTTTTGAGGTTTCTTTGGTTCACAGATCACCCAGCTGTTCCCCATTGCCTATAGGGGTGGGAATTACTTCAAAAGTATGATAGGAGGCCAAGTCTTCTAATCAGTGGGGCAAGCTGTGAATTACAGCTAAAGATTGTTACCAAACAAACGTCTACCATGGGTCAGTAAATCAGGAGAAAGTGGTTGTTTCTACACACCTGTTCTCAACTTAATGGTTCATTTATTTAACTGATGAATGCTGTCTTTATGGGGGTCTGGTATTCAGGGGGCTCAGGGGAGTGATAAATAGGGCTTTGTGTAACCTTTGTTTTTAATGTAGAGCTGCTATCCCATCTGTGACAGTCCTGGACCATAGAATCAGCTCATCACATAGTATCCAAGATCTGCTCTCCTTCAGCCCCACATAATGCACAGTTTCAAGTGAGTGAGCTTGAACATGGGAGAGGACATGGGGACCACTCAGTCGGGGAGAGATTGAGGCTGGGACGGAGGAGGGGAAGTGCACACAGGGTGTCCCGGTGCAGTCCTCTAAGATAGCACTTCATCATCAAAAGACTTAAAGTGTGAAGTACTCCTCCTCCTGCCAAAAAAACCCCAAACAAACCAGCCTTGCAAATCTACACAAGCTCATGACCATATTCACGTGCAAGATGAATACGAAGCAACAAAGTAGCACATGTACTCTGGCTCCCACCCCCAGCTACACATAATTTGGCCGAGGCTACACGTAATTTGTGATCTCTCCAGGACATCTCCAAAGTTACCAGAATCATTGTCATCTAGATTTGGAGATCCTTGCAACACCCAATGGGTCAGTGTCTTCTTGGGTTGACATGGGAGGCAGAAGACTGCTAACTCCCAGAAGCTGAAATGTCTTGAAGATGGGGTGTTTTGCCACCTTGATCAGAGATGGGCCTTATGGGGAAAACAAGGAAGCTCAATGAGATAAAAGTTAATTATTCAGCCGAACTGTCACCATGCCTTGCAACCTGCCTTGCTAACCTAAAACAAACATCTGTGCTCACCAGAACTCTATGCCTTTGTTGGTCCTCAATAAATCCGGGAGTTTGAGTCAGTTTAGAGCTGCATTTAAGTGGGGTCCCCTGACCCTCCTCAAAGAAATTCTGTCTCTTGTGTTGTTATTTGTCTATCAGGGTTTGCTGGCCCAAACCCAGCACCTACCACTATTTTCTTTTTCTCAGAGCAGAAAATATGACAAAAATGGTGACTTTTTAACAGATATATTGAAAGATTACTTGGTTCACAGAAAAAAAACCACACCAGAAAAAACTATAGAGATTTTCCTTGGCTCTCACAGGCATAGCTTCCCTCATTATCCACATCCTCCACCAGGATATGTGTCAAAACTGGGATCCTACATTTAGACAGCATCATCGGCATCCAAAGTCCATAGTTTACAGTAAAGTTCACTCTTGGTATTATACATTCTTTAGGTTTGGACAAATGTGTAATGGTATGCATTCATCATTACATTCCCAAGTGGAGCATTTTCACTGTCTTTAAAAGTCCTCTGTGATATGCCTGATTATCTTTCCTTTCCTCCTAACTGCTGGCAATGACTGATCTTTTCACTCTCTCTCTATGATTTTGCCTTTTCCAGAATATCATATAGTTGAAATTATATAGTTTGTAAAATTTTAACTTTAGCATCTTTTACTTAGTAATATGCATTCAAGCTTCTTCTTTTGTCTTTTCATGACTTGAAAGCTAGTTGATGTTTATTGTTAGAATAACATTCCCTTGTATGGTTTCACCACAGTGTGACCACTCATTGTGATGTATCAACCTGACTGGACTAAGAGATTAGTAAAGGACATATAGGAGATTATGAAAGCTGTGTCTGCGGGTGTTTCAGAGGTGGTTGGCATGTATGCTAGCAAACCGAAGAGGAAAACCCACCTCAACTGTGGGTGGCACCATCCAATAAGCTTGCAGCCTAGATGGAACAAAAATTAAAGAAATAGAAAGTTCATATATGTTTTGAAGATCTCTATTCTTTTTGAGCTGCTGCATTTATTTTTACTGTCACCTGTGGTCATTAAACTCCAGCTTCTTCAGCCTTTCAACACCGACCCATATGAAGTTTCTCCAGGGAGCTTCCAGGCCTTCAGTTTCAGACTGGCGCTGCAATCTTGATCCTTCTTGTTCTGCAGCTTTCAGCCCCTTGGACTGAGCAGTACAGGATCTGCCAGCTCTCTAGTACACAGGTGGTCATTGTGGACTCTCCTTTTGATCCTGTAAGCCTATCTGTAATACCCTATTTATATATATATAATTTTTTTCCTACTGATTCTGAGTACTCTAACCAATACACACAGATTTAAAAATCCTACTTCCTGGGCTGGGGATATAGCTCAGTGGCACAGCACCTGCCTGCCAAAAGCAAAGTCCTAAATTAGATTCCTGGTACCAAAAAAAAAAAAAAAAATCCTACTGATTGCTTCCAGTTTTTGATGATTGTGAATAATGTTATAAACATCTGTGTATCCATGTGCAAGTATTTGTGCAGACATAATAGTTTTCAGCTCAGTTTGGTAGATATTTAGGAGCATAATTGCTGGATTGTATGGAAAAGCTATATACCTAAAAGAAACAATTTTTTAGATTTTTAAATTTAGTCATTCTGTCATGAGTAACAATTGTTTTAACTTGCAGTCCTCTAATAGCATACAATATTGAGCATCTATATATGTAATCATTTGTCATCTATATATATTTTTTGGTGAAATATGTGTTAAAGTCTTTGTATAATTTTTTAAAAATGTATTGTTGAGTTTTAAGAGCCATGTTAATCAGTTTTCTGTCACTGTAACAAAACACCTGAGATAATTAACTTAAAAGGAAGAAAGTTTTATTTTGTCTCATGGTTTCAGAGGTTTTGACCCATGGTGGCTTAATCCTGCTGCTTTGGGCCTGTGCAGTAGTATGTGTCAGAGGAAGCCTGTTTCCTCATGGTAACAGGAAGGCAAAGAGAAAGACAGAAAGTGTTCATGATCCCAATATTCCCTTCAAGATCCTTCCCCCCATCGACCTCACTCCCGTCCACTAGGTCCCACCTCCTAATGTTTCCACCACCTACTAAAAAATGCCACAGGGTGAGGACCAGGCCTTCAACATATGGGCCTTTTGGGGACATTCAAGATCTAAACCATAGTAGGAATTCTTTGTATATTTTTTTAACAGTACTTCATCAGATATGTCCTTTGCAAATAATGTCTTCACATCTATGACTTGTCCTTTTATTTTCTTGATGCTGTCTTTTGTAGAATAAAAATTTTAATTGTAATGATAGCTAGTTTATGAATTCATTCATTCATGGATAACATCTTTGGTGTCCTATCTAAGAAGTTATCCTCAAAACCAAGGCCATCTAAATTTTCTCATATGTTATCTTCTGGGAATTTTATAGGTTTATATTAGGATTATATTCCATTTAAATTCATTTTTGTGAAGTCAGTTTCCAGATTCCTTTTTTGTGAATGTGAGTATCCATTTGTTTTAGCACCATTTGTGGAAATGATTATCTGTCCTCTAGCATATTCCTTTGGCCTTTGTACTATCCATGAACACTGATTCTGTGATTTATTTCAACAGTTTTACTCATATAGCCCTTGGACATATTTTATACCTAAGTATTTCATTTCATTGGGCATGCTAATATAAATAATATTGTGTGTTCGACTTCAAATGTCATTTGCTAATTGGGATCATAGAGATAAGCAATTGATTTTTGTATGTTAACCTTGAACCCTGCAACTTTGCTATGATTGCTTATTAGTTTGAGGAAATTTTGTTGAATTTTTTGATTTTTCTACATAAACATCAAACTATTGACAAATAAATGTAGCTTTATTTCTGCCTTTCCAATATTTGTATTTTCATTTCTTGTCTTATTACATTGGCTACAACATTCAGAATGATATTAAAAAGTAGCGGAAGGGTCGTTCTTCACTGAGGCTTGATCTTTTTTTTTATTTTAAAGATAAAAGGAGGGAAACATTAACAGACATACAACATTTTACAACATATCACAAGCACAATACAGACAATACAGAGTTACAAAGTGGTAGGGAATTAACAATGGTGGTTGTATTACATATTGATATCTTCAAAGTGGCTTCTCATGAAAACAGATATAGACATGCAATACTGGTCAACCAAAGACTCACTGACAGTTT